AAAAAAAAAAAGAAGCACATTAGGAAACATATTCCCACTTTAAAGTAAATGCTGCTGAGATTCTTCACTCCCTTCCTACCTCCTCTTCTCTCTTCTCCTGCAGCTTTATCTTATCCTTCTCTTGCTTACTGGAGCGCCAGAGTTCCTTAACACCAATAGGTTATAGTTATTTTAAAACTAAGGTGGCCATGGTTTCCAAGCTGCCTGGTGGACTGGAGCATTGCTACAAAGCCAAGGGATTGAGCTTTAAATGGCTTAATAAAATTAACACTTTGTGATGTCTTCTTCCCCCTGCTCCAGCTCCTGTCTGCATTGACAGGATACTTGATAATATACTCTCTGCCACAGGCTTGAAGGGCTGATTACACGGCAAACGTGGAGAGGGGAGTGAAGCTGTCAGAACTCCCCCATAGCAGCCACGCTTCAGGTTTCCAGTGCAGGATTGTATTTGACAGTTAATTTAGGAGCCAGGGTACCTAGATATAAAACTTTACTGTGATAATAGTGATGAAACCACCCAGACTTTTATTTAAGGGCCTGCTGCTCTCCTGTCCCCCTCCTTCCTCTTTTCCTGTTAGTTCAAGCTCTCATTCAGTTAAGGAAATAAAATCAGATTTGCTCAGGAAAAAAAGGTGTTTTCTTTGATATTTTTTGACTAAACCTGCAGAGTGCAACTCTCAGTCTACTTCAGATCTATATGTAGATGCTTATACATATATAAATATAAAATTTGAGAACAGTGCCTCTCTCCTGATTGACTGCATTTAGCTGAAGGGGAGAATTTATTAGGTCTCCTACTAAGAGACGTTTCATTCAACGCAGTAATCCAGCTGATGTCCATCCCCTTGTTTAATGGCTTTTGTTTACTTCTACAGCAGGTGAAATAGATTCTACCATGTCTCCCTACTTCCTAACTCAACCTATTTATTTATTTATTTATTTATTTGTTTTTGAGACAGAGTCTCGCTCTGTCCCCCATGTTGGCTCACTGCAACCTCTGCATCCCGGTTCAAGCAATTCTCCTGCCTCCGCCTCCCTAGTAGCTGGAACTACAGGTGTGCGCCACCATGCCCAGCTAATTTTTGTAGTTTAGTAGAGATGGGTTTCACTATGTTAGCCAAGATGGTCTTGATCTCTTGACCTCTTAATCCACCCACCTCAGCCTCCCAAAGTGCTGGGATTACAGGAATGAGCCACTGTGCCCAGCCTCAACCCATTTATTTAGACATTATGTTCCCCTTTTACAAATGAAGAAACAAGATTTAAGAGATTAGGTGACTTGTTCAAGGTCACAGGGCTAGTAAGTTGCCTTTCTTTGACTTCTATATAGAAATTATTAACTTTTACCTATAGAAGATGTATTGAGCATGGTATTCCAATGTAGAATTTGTTCAGACTTTTCAGGGTAAAAGTTTACATTGAGTATGACTTGCTTTTCTTTTTTTTTTTGTGGTGAAAGAGCACAAATATTGGAGTCAGATGACATGAGTTCATATACTTAAGTTTTATCTATAAAGGAGGACTAATCATATTATATTTTTATTAATGAAGATCCTGAAAATGAAAACTTGTGAGGAGGAGATAAGAAACAGTGGAAGAATATTTTGGGGACTTAAAGGTATGTTAGCAATGTAGTTAGTTAATGAGCATTGTGGTTCTTGTGTAAACAGGTTGTTAGCTCCTTATTAGAGTAAGTAGGGTTTCAGTCTACAAAGGAGAGAAAATACTGTAAGAGGCAAGTTGTGAGATTGAGGAGACAACTATTCCCATAGACTGACTTTGTATAGGTACAGAGGAGCAGAACATGACCCATCCTTCCTGTGCTTTCCGTACTTTGCTTCTGTATCATTGAAGTAGACTGACTCTGAGATGTTGCACAGTCAGATCTTATCAAAGTAGGAAGGCAGCCATTGCTCCTTGACAGTCTGTGGCCATTTAATTCAAACTGAGGCAAGGAGCCTCAGTATTGACATCTTTGCTCTTCAGTGCCAAGGATGTGTAAGAAAGTCCTTTATATGTTCCCTTGGGAAATTAGATATAAACTCCCAGGGGCATAGGCTCCCCCTTTTTTTTTTTGGAAAACTCATTGGGGGCTCTTTGTCTGTGAGAGCTCATTAGGCAGCATATGGGAGACACACAATAAAAGTTCACAGTTGCTATTATCTCTAATGAGCACAACGGTTCTGCTGATGGTCCTGTGTGCCCAGAAAGCACTAAGTGCTTTCCATGTATTTTGTGTTAAGTTTAGAAAAATATCTATTAGGATGTTATTACTACCCTCATTTTACAAAGAAACTTTCTATGGAAAAACTTTCACCTTTCTGAGCTTCAGAAGCATGGAGTTAGCAGAACCAGTCCTCAAACCCCTTTGTCTACTACATCAAACTCTATATGCTGTACTGTTGTGACCCTCTGCAGGAAAGAAGACTCAGCAAACATGAGAGCTGTGTCTCAGTGCCCTTTCCTGTGTATGTGTGTTGGCATGCAGTTGTTTTGCTGTTGTGGTTTTAATAAAATACAAATAACTGTGACTTTATAGGGAAATTGCTTGAGGATAGAACTGGAGTGGAGGTTGAGTCTTATTTTAAAAGTGCTTTAATCTTCAGCAGATAAGAGGCTTTCTTTGTATATTCAAGTCTAACTTATTTTAAGTCAATTCTTAAAAATAGTATAAATTCTGTATAGTTGCCCCTCAAACTTTCAGTGTCATTTCCCACCTCCTACTTCCTACATGAGAATTCCCAAAGCAGAAGTTGTTTTTCTAGCTTATGCATAGGTTAAGGTGTTAAGAAAGCAGGAAAACAAGATAAAATAGGAGCTCTCACCCTTATTTTTGGTTGTTACAAGTCCTGGGTGTCTCTGGGGACACATTCTTCTAGTTTCACATTCCTATAGCAGGGGCCACCCAGAATTTTTTTCTGTTTGCTCTAGAAAAGTGGTGCTCAGAAGTTTGTGATGACTTTCTTTATTGCCACCCTGGGGTCAGACAAAGAGAGAAGCATCTTAAGAGCAAGCATTAGTACTGAGTCAAAGTGAACCCAGCATCCCCAGTGAACTGCTTTCTGTTGCATCCAGTTCAGTGCCATGTCACTGGGTTACACATCAAGTTGTCATGGCAATAAAGTCATAGCAGCTGACAGCATGAACAAGCAGCCCTGGGAGGAGAGGATGCTTGGCGGCGATGCCACAGTTATAGTGGTTAGACATCAATCTCTCACATTAAGGGGTACTTGTCTGTCAGTTGTGACTGTGTCTACTTCACAGATTCAATTGAAGTGTTTATTAGGCCCTTTAAAGCCTCTAAGAAATGTGGTCCTGAGCCTCTGTTACTCTGTGTGTGTGTGTGTGTGTGTGTGTGTGAAAGAGAGAGAGAGAGAGACAAAGAGAGAGTGTTTGTGTACACAGGACATGTATATTTATTACTGTATATGGAGGAGGGAGAACCATGAAGGGAAGGCGATTTGGAAGAAGCATAGGGTTATATTCATGAAGCTGTTAAGGAACAATACAGAATTTGGACTTAAGTACCAAAATTTTAGTCTTAAGAAGAAGTATTCTGGTCACAAGTAGAGGAAGGATAGAGTAGTCAGACTGAGCTAGGGGGTGTATTAGTCCATTCTTGCATTGCTATAAAGAACTACCTGAGACTGGGTGATTTATAAAGAAAAGAGGTTTAATTAGCTCACAGTTCTGCAGGCTGTACAGGAAGAATAGTGGCTTCTGGAGAGGCCTCAGGAAACTTTCAGTCATCGTGAAAGGTAAAGGGGAAGCAGGCATGTCATACGTGACCGGATGAGGAGGAGGAAGAGAGAGAAAGAAAGTGCCACACAATTTTAAACAACCAGATCTTGTGAGAGCTCCCTCATTATACTACAGTACCAAGAAGGATGGTGCTAAGTCACTCATGAGAACTCCACCCTTATAATCCAGTCATGTCACACCAGGCCCCACCTCCAACACTGGGGATTACAATTGAATATGAGATTTGGGTGGGGACACAGATCCAAACCGTATCCAAAAGTTTTTGTTTCTGGCAGTCAATGCTACAAGCCAAGACAAAGACTATATAAGAGAAAGCTGAGTTCCAAGCACCAGCAGAGGGAGTGAAGGGCACATTTAATCAGGGCCAAAGATGGAATTTGAGGTCAAGATTAGAAAGCCAAGAATTCAGGGCCAAGTGGAGATGAGAAGGGAGGGAAAGCTGGCCAAGAACAAGTTGGAGGTAGAAGCAAGACACTAATCAGTGTCCTCACATCACTCTAGAGTTCTTTGTGACTTTGAATTTTGTTTCAGCAAGATAGTGGTGCAGGGGGCAGTGGGACTAGGTTAAAAGGCCTGGGTGGGGTGAGCAGGGGGTGCTAAAGTGGAGCCTTGAAGAAAAGAAGGGGATTTTCATGTAAATGGGGCAACATCTCCACTGCCAGACTGGTGGAGGGACATATGTGGGATGACCTCTGACATTCAGTCAGCATGTATTGCCCACCATTTTGTACATGGCCCTTAGTTAAGGTGTCATAATTTCTCCTTAAAGTAGTAGTAAGTAAAGAGACCTATTGTCTGGTGGAGAAAATAAAACTTGACTCGAGTTTGGAGCCTGCTAACTGCCTAAATCATGGTGTCATTAAGAAGAATAGAGGAAGCAAGTCAACATTTGAAGGGAGGATGGAGAATAATGTTGTGGTCAGAAGGCAGATTGTATTGTCAAACTATTTGGGTTCAAAATCTGCTACATACTGTATGTCTGAATTTGGGCAGGTTTCTTACCCCCCTATTTAAGTTTCTTCATCTGTAAATGAGTATAATAATACTAGGAACCTCATGGCATCATCATGATGATTAATTGCAATAATATACATAAAGTGCTTAGAATAGCGTCTAATAGTGAGGCAGTGAATAAAGGTAGTAGTGATAATGATGAGGAAGGGGAGGACTCAGTTTGAGGCTTGATGGCTTCTATAATAGAAATGTATCCAGGTAGAGATGTGCATCAGCCAAGAGCAACTGAGACTGGTTTCCCGTAGAGAAAATCTGGGCATAGGCGCCATCTCCATGGAGGTGGTAGTTGAATTTCTAAAGATGGAATGAAATTGTTAAGGAAGAGTGTAGAGTAGTGCTTCTCAGTGGAAAGTGATTAGAGGGCAGTGTTTAAAGACTAAGGGGTGTCAGTAGTGCTGAATACCACAGACAGATCGGTAGTGAAGTTAGAGTTGGTGACTCGTAGACACCTTTGTAGTGGGGTAGCACTACAAAAAGGGTAGCAAGTGTTATGTTACTTTTTTTAAAAGCCTGATGTGAAAGGTAGAAGACAGCTCCCTATGATTTCATCTCCAGCCTGACCAATCAGGACTCCTGACTCCCTGGCCCCCATCTGCCAAATTATCCTTAAAAAGCCCCAGTCCTCAAATTTTGAGGGAGACTGATTTGCGTAATAATAAAACTCTGGTTTCCTGTTCAGCCAGCTCTGTGTGAATTAAACTCGTTCTCTATTGTAATTTCCCTGTCTTGATTAATTGGCTTTATCTGGGCAGTAGGCAAAGTGAACCCATTGGGCAGTTACAAAACTGTGCCTCTGAGAACCAAGATTAGACCACTGGTAAGCAATCCAGAACTGAGGAAAGCACCAAGATAAAAGCAGAGGCCCCAAATGTCCAACCAGCTGTGTGGTTTTGGGCAGGTAACTGAATTTTTCAGAGCCTCATTTTTTTTTTTATTATAAAAAATGAAAAGCCAAACTCAGTTTCCTTTTATCTCTAAAGTAATAGAACTACATAGATTTTAGATTCTTGAAGGAGTAATTCACCAATCCAGATTTGTTTTTAATCACATTTGTTGCCAAAACAAGAGTAGAGATTCAGGGCACTAGGAATCTAACTCAGTAGTTGTTAGGATGACATAGCCAAAATAAGAAGTGAAGAAGATAATAATAGAATAATCTTGTCTTTTGACAATGCTCCTTGGCTGTTTTGGATGCCATTATTTTCATGGGCTTAAATTGAAATGGGCTTTTAAAAACTTGGATTTATTCTAGAAGGGAGTCATATGGGAAGGAAGGGTCTAATATTAAATGGAAAGGCAGAGAATGAAAATGTTGACAAATCTGGGTATAAGGTTTAAGCAGAACTATCTTTCCTGATCTATTTGATGCTCACCCCATCCCCAGATCTTCTCTAGGCTTCTCAGTGGCTACTTAGTTTTCTGTTTTAATTTTATTAGATGGTGCAAAAAAAGTAATTGCGGCTTTTGCCAGTGAAATGAACCAAATTAATATTAACATTTTAAAAATAGATTTTATTTAGATTGGTTTTAGGTTCACAGAAAAATTGAATGGAAATGTAGAGGGTTTCCATGTACTCTCTCACCCCATATGCACAGCCTCCCCAACTATTATCATCCTGTACCAGTTAAGTACATTTGTTATAATTGGTGAAGCTGTACTAACATATCATTATCACCCAAAGTTTATAGTTTGCATTAGGGTTTACTGTCAGTGTTGTATGTTCTATGGGTTGATAAATGTATACACCATTAAAATATCATACAGAATAGTTTCACTGCCCTAAAAATCCTCTGTGCTCTGCCTTTTTATTTTCTCTTCCTCCAAACCTCTGGCAACTGATCTTTTTACTATCGCGGTAGTTTTTTTTACCTTTCCTATAATGTCATGTAGTTGAAATCACACACTGATTCCAAGCTTTTTAGATTGGCTTCTTTCACATAGTAATATACACTTAAGATTCTTTCATGTCTTTTTATGACTTGATAGCTGTTTTTCTTTTTTTGTGGGGAGAGGGGGCGGGGATTGATTAACATTCTGTTGTCTCGATGTACCACAGTTGATTTATTATTTTCCCTACTGAAGGACATCTTGGCTGCTTCCAAGTTTTAGCACTTATGAATAAAAGTTGCAATAAACATCTGTGTGCAGGTTTTTATGTAGATGTAAGTTTTCAACTCATTTGGGTAAATACCAAGGAGCATAACTGCTGGGTTCTGTGGTAAGAGTATATTTAGTTTTGTAAGAACTGCCAAACTGTCTTCCAAGTGGCTTTGCCATTTTTCATTCCTACCGCAATGAATGAGATTTTCTGTTGTTCTACATGTTTGCCAGCACTTGGTCTTGTTAATGTTTTGATTTGGACCCTTCTCATAGATGTGTATGGAACCTTATTGTTGTTTTAATTTTTAATTTCCTAATGACACGATGTTGAGCATCTTGTCATATGCTTATTTGCCATCTGTATCTTTTTGGTGAGGAGTCTGTTCATTTTTTAATCAGGTTGTTCATTTTCTTATTTTGAGATTTTATAGATCTTAGTATATTTTAGATATTAGTCCGTTATTAGATATGTCTTTTATAAGTATTTTTTCCCAGTCTGTGGTTTCACTTCTCATTTCACTTGACAGTGTCTTTAACAAAGCAGAAATTTTTCATTTTAATGAAGTTCAGCTTATCAATTGTTTTGTTCATGGATACTAACATTGGTGTTACATTTAAAAAGTTATCACTAACTCAAGGTCTTCTGGCTTTTTAAAGGTGTTATTTTCTAAGAGTTTTATAGTTTTGCATTTTACATTGAGGTCCATCATCCATCTTGAATAAATTTTGGTGGAAAGTATAAGGTCTCTGTCTAGATTATTATTTTTTCATGTGGATGTCTAGTTGTTCAGCACCGTTGGTTCAAAAGACTGTCTTTTCTCTCTTGTATTGCCTTTGGTCCTTTGTCAAAAATCAGTTCACATATGTATGTAGGTCCATTTCTAGGCTCTTCATCATGTTTCACTGATCTGTTTGCCTACTCTTTTGCCAGTATTACACTGTCTTGATTATTCCAGCTTTATAGTAAGACTTGAATTGAGTAGTGGCAGTTCTTCAGTTTCGTTCTTCTTCAATATTGGGTTGACTATTCTAGGTCTTTTGCTTCTCCAAGTAAACTTTAGAATCAGTTTGTTGATATCCACAAAATAACTTGGCTAGG